ACACACACACACACACACACACACACACACACACACACACACACACATACACACACGTACACTTGCTTGCAGATAAGCTTGACTGGATTCAGCAAAGAGGGAGAAGCAGCTTTTTCTCTCCTCTCTGAGACTAATTGATTAAGTAGTCATGACAAAGCCAACTGTAAGAAATTTGGTAAACTTTATTTACTACCTCCGCCAACAGTAGCAAATCCCTTGACAAATAAGTCCTTCGAAACTAATTTTCTGTCTCAATATTTTTCCCATAAGATACCCTGTGCATGTATTTCTGTTTTGTTACACTTGAAAACAGTTTCAAATTTTCTGTTCTAAATACAGTCTTGGAGATAACACCAAATTTTGACATTTGAAAAATAAAAAAATCCCTCTGATTTTTTAAAATTTGAGTAGCGAATCTGCCAATATAAATAGAGCCAGATATATTTACCTCCATCTGCTGTGCGGAATTCGATTCTATCAGAGCTCGAATAGCAGCATGGATATCCATTTGTCTCTGTGTAAAAAAAATATATGACTGAGGTGGCCATAATAATATGAAGCCTGTTCTGACGGGCTCTGTTCAGTTTGTTCCGGGAACCTTGCTGTGAAACGTACTATATTGTTCTGTATGGAATCTGCAACTCTCGATGACAGATCCTGCAAGTAAGACCCAGCTATCTTATATGAAAGGCAAGATGCTGCCTCCATCCAGAGCCCACAGGTATCATCCAAACAGGACTCAGTGTAAGGTTTCTAAAGCTAACGTAAACTGTTTGTTCCGAGGCGGGAAAGCGTGCACACGTGACTCGAATGGAAGAAGAAACACAATCCCCTCATGCAGTAAACTGTCAACTGAAGAATGAGTAAGTGTAGTAATTTTTAACAGTTCTATTCTTGGAAGGAAGGTAGAATAAAATACTACTGTCGTGAGGTAGTCGCCGCAATAGCCGAATCTGATACCTTCTGCGGTCTTAAAAACATTTTCTGAAGTTGGAAAATGTACCATTAGTCCCAAAAGAAATAACACAGCGCAAACTCAATCTGCTCCTGCATTTAATAAAAAGGATATTTTAGGAGAAAAACTCAGCATAGCCATTTGTATTAGTCTTTCTGTAATTTTAAATATATATGTTTTGGAAATGAAGAAGCACGAGCTGAGGGTCCTGGAAATGGTCCTGGGAAATCACATCTGTGGGAATGAGCTCAGCCATTTCCGAGTCAGCTCAGAAGGATTATGACGCTGAGGGTTTATTTTGTTGTTGTTGTTTTTTTGTTTTGTTTGTTTTTGTTTTTTTGTTTTGTTTGTTTGTTTTTTTTGCATGGCCACACAGGAAATAAGCTGTTTATCAACAGTTCATTCTCAAGTCATGGTTAGCAATCAGAAAAGCCATTTGAGATTATGGAACAATCAATAAAGACTACCTTTTCCGCTTGTCTTCACATGTGTTTTTCATATTGGAAAATAACTCGCTCATTCTGCACACACGGGTTTCCAAACACTATGACAACTACCGAGGAGAAAATGGTAAGCGGTGAAGGAAGCTGTTCCCCTGGAGGCTAGCCTTAGAGGGGAAACAGGCATAGATCAAGGGATCTAAAACCACGTGACTATAATGTGACTATAATGACTATATATGGTACATGTGCGATGGAAGGAAAGTCCCTGGGACGATGAGAGAAATTACGAGTCAAAACTGGGATGTGCAGGGCATTGGTGAGGCAACACTGTCTTGGGATGGCACTGTCTGAGTGGACATAGGAAGCTTGGCAGTGTCATGACAAAGGAGAGACTCCCAAGCAGAAGAACAACCCTGGCTAGAGGTCATGACCTCTTCAAGAAGCACGGAATCTTCTTCAGATTAGCCAGTCCTAAAATTTGAGACAAAGTCTTGCTATGTAATTCAGGATGTCTTTGAACTGCTATCCTCCTGACTCAGCAACCCCTTTGCTAGGATTACAGGTGCATACCACCATGCTGGCTCCTGGCGTGTGATTAAAACTATTAATTAGAACACCTAGCCCGTGGCTCCCTAACTCTTTGGAATCAAAATGCCCTTGGACTTTCAATATGACTGAGTGGGACTGGGGTTGTAATTCAGGAGTAACTCTCTAAACACACAATAGGCCAGGGGTTCTGTCCTCGGCACCATAAGACACAAAACCCAATCAACCAAAAGTATAATTGAGTACCTCAGGAGACTTTTGCTTACATGAGTTAGAACTTTTGGTATTTTCCAAAAGTAGAAATATGAACATAAAATTTTAAAAGACTTAGTAATTGCTTAAAATAACAACACATCTATTGTATAATAAAATCACTAAAATAGTCCTATGTGTTATTTTATAAAACAAACAAAGAACCCATAATGGTGGACTGTTTAATACTTTTGCACATCTTTACTGTTAGATTACTGATGGAAGAAAAGAACCCCACATAGTTTTTCAGTCAATGGGTTTGTGTTTCCCAGTATCATTTTATCATTTTGATTTGGATCATCAGAACGGCCATTCCACTTCATATAACTAGGCACTGTTTATGTTTAGAAGCACAAATTAGAGCCAGAGGGCTTATAAAGCTAAATTTATTATGATTTTCAATTTTGACAATGTCAACAGACTGCAAAATATGATAGCCACAGGAGGAATTTTACTTCCTGGACCTTGTCTTTATTTGACCTTTCTGGTGGTTCCCAGGAAGACATCTAAGACTGTTTTTATTTTACCTTATCCAGTGGTCATCCAGTACAACAAGAGGCTCTCCAAAAGCACATGCAGTGAGTTTTTAACTTTGAAACAACAAGGAATGAAGCAACCACGAAAGGAAACAAAGTTTCCACAGAAAAGCTAGAGAATGTGCTGTCCTTACACTGTCAAAAACTCTGACCATATTCCAGAATGTAAAACTCCATGTGGTATTAGCACTACATATGTGTTTGGAGTCCTGAGAAGTGCCGAGCCCTCACCCCTGGCTGATCTTGAGGCTTTGTGACAGCAGGTGTAATTGTCACCTGCCTGGTTGAACATTGAAATGGTCAGATCCCATGAGCAAAACCGGTAGCCTTCTCATCCCTGGTGTCTAAGAAAACCTAGTAGGAAATCTCTAACAGAAGATTAGCTGAGCACCGACCTGAGCAGAGGCTTCAATATTCACACACAGCAAAGAGTGCAGAGATTTCAGGATTCATACATGTCAACCAACAACAAGGAAAAGCAACAACACTAAATTCTGGCTGAGGGCAGGAATATGATTTCCAGGGTGTGACACTGTAGAAACTGAAAAGTCTCCTTTTTAACAAGGACACAGTCACAGCTGGTCCTGTGGATGTGTGGAGTCTGTATCTTCAGGATCAATCAAAACTATAACGTTGCTGGAGAGATGGCTCAGTGGTTAGGAGCACTGACTGCTCTTCCAGAGGTCCTGAGTTCAATTCCCAGGAACCACATGGTGGCTCACAACCATCTGTAGTGGGATCAGATTCTCTCTTGTGGTGTGTCTGAAGACAGTGACAGTGTACTCACATGCATAAAATAAATAAATGAACAAACAAATAAAAATTCCACCTGTACTGAACATACATAAACTTTTCTTGGTCATTGTTACCTGAACAATATAGTGTAACCAATAGTATATGGTTGATGTAAAAAAAAAAAAGAAAGAAAAGCAGAGTGGGGTGGGACCTAGCTTAGTGGTAAAGTACCTATCTGTTACATGTGGGGTCCTGGGTTTAGTCATTGCCCACTCTCCTCCGAAAACAGAGCGGGTACTCTTCTGGGTGCAGAGGGCATGCTTGCAATCCCAGTACCTGGAAGGATGAGGAGGAGGGTGACTGAGAGCTTGAGGTCAGCCTAGGCTACACAGTGATTCTAGGGCCATCCTGGGCTACCTAGCAAGATTCTGTCTTACAGTATCAAACCACTGGGACTGGCCTCCACAACCTTAAATTTTGATTGGCTGTGGTTTTCTGTAGTAGTCTCCATCTGTTGCAAAAAAACAGTTTTTTTTTTTTTTTGATGAGGGGTGAAGACTACACTTAACTGGAGGTATAAGAACAAATGTTTGTAGATTGTTGTTAGGGCTTATGCTGGTTTAGTGAATTAGTGACTGCAGATTTTCTTCCAGTATCCGATATCCGATATCTATGCCTCCAGTATCACACAGCATCCACTAGTGCTGAGTAGTTAGTTAGGTTTCTGGTACCAGGCACAGTCTCCTTGCTGAGCAGGTCTTAAGTCAGAGATCATTGTAGATGAGGGGACAGAAAGAGGTTAAGAGCCAGAGGATCGGGAGTTTGCTGTGGGATTGTGTTTTCTAATCATATCTGAAGCTACACCCATAAAATCTTACCATCATGACTCCCAAGCATGAGCTGAACAAGGTGACATCAAGGAACAGGCCAAACTAGATGGAGAAAAGCCTATGAGCTCTCAACCCTACATAGAGAACTACAGGCAACTGAGGGAAGCTGGGAGAAAGAGAGGTGACCTTTCCTGGGGAAGAACAGAGAATTAGGCTGTCTAGTACCACATGGTCAGTCCTGAAAACATACATACCAGTAGTGTTATATGAACAGAACAGGTTATGTTTAGTAATATATACTTCTATATATATTAATATATAAATATGTTTAGTAATATATTGCTATATATTACTATATTAACATATAGTAATATATTGCTATATATATTTATGTATTATATATTATATTATATTTTATATATAGAGAAAGCAAATGTCACATGATTAACTCATGTAAAATACTTAGTAACCAAGTTCACTGAGGTAGAATGGTGGTTGCCAGGGGCTTGAGAGAAGGAAAACTGGGACTTAATTGGCTTGAAGATACAGAGTTTCAGTTTGGGGAGATGAGAAAGGTTCTGGAAACAGATGGTGACACTGGTTGCAAAACTGTAGATATTAGCAATGCCAGAAGTACATGTATATGTGCTTAAAATGGCAATTTTCAAGTTACATATACTGAACCAAAACATACTATGTGCATACGCTGATCATTCAGCAGAGTTTGGATCTGGAGTGTTTCCCAGAGGTCCACACAGGAAAGACTTGGTCACCAGTCTGTGGCACTGACGGGGGTTGTAGGACCTTCTGGTGATGGGGTCTCCTACAAAGAAGCTAGGTCATTAGGAGTGTGACTTTAAAAGGAGGTTTGGGCCAGGTAGTAGTGGTGCATGCCTTTAAATCCAGTACTTGGGAGGCAGAGGCAGGCAGATCTCTAAGTTCAAGGCCAGCCTGAGATGTCAGTGTCTTCCCCTCACTTGGTTACCATCTGATATTCCGTGATGGCATAAATCTGAAACAATGTAGCAAAGTGACTGACTACTCACAGAACGTCTGAAACTTTTGAGTCAAAATAACCCTTTACTCTGAGTTGCTTCTCTTAGGTGCTTTGTCCCAGGGTATGCTGGAGGGGATGCTGACTAACTACATCTCACCTTTGGAGCTGGTCATAAGGATATTCTACATATGTAAAATGATAGGCGTACTGATGCTACAATTGTACTAACTGTGTTTTAAAGATTGGAAACAATTTACATGTTCACCCACAGAAGACTGAATGAGAGAACAACAGGATATTCCTAAAAGAAATGACTGCTCTAGCCTTTCTGATCATGTGTGAGTGAAGGATACCGTAGGGATCAGTAGAGGCTCCCATCATTTTAACTATGGCTTGTGCAAATGACAGTTCAATGAAAAAGGCACGGATCTTTTGGAATAGACACTAGAAAACAAAGATGTCATTGGATTTAGTGTCGTGATTTTTTTTTTTTTTTTGCGTTCTTCATATTTAACTCCTTGACTATTCCCAAAGCCCGCTATACCCTTTGGCACATAGTGGGAATTCATTGGCACTTAGTGGGAATTCCATATGCTGATTGTCTCTCTTTCTCATTGGAAAATACAGCCAGATTGAGTTAACGGTTTTGTGGACAGTCGTCATTCTGTAACAGTCCGGGTGTCCTCATCGGAGCATAGAGCTCTCCTGTGGAGCTGGGTGTGGTGGCAACACAGTAATCCCAGCACTCAAATTGAGCATCAGGTGAGCCTGGGACACTGTTTCAAAACAAAGTGTCAGAAAAAGTTCCACGTCCAGAGAAGGGATGAAAAAAGAAAAGAAAAAAAAAAAGCTTTATGCACTCTAGTTTAAGAGAACTTGTTATAACATGAAAATCACTCAATGTTTTAAACATGGGCATAAAACGGCGCACATCTGAGTATAAAGCTGTCATTAAGTACAGAGAAAGGGTCCAGAATGAAATAAAACAAAACAGCTTCCTCATGTAGTCTAGTAAAAGAGAGAGCACATTATCATGTGAGAAATCACTTAGCCTTTAAAAAAAACCCCACGCACCTGAACTAGGAAAGAGAGTAGGGAGTGAGCACACGGTTAATAGCCGCAAAGACACCTCACGGTTTCAGATATCGGGAATTAGATAAGTTTCTTTCTATTTTGCCAGAATATAATTCTTCCTCTCCTGTGTTCATGGGGGTGACACAGATCTAACCTGGGCACCTCAGGGTTTGGAGACTGTTCCCTATCAGACTCCTAAAGTCTCAAGGTGGGTAGACAGTGACAACATCGAGGACTAAGGAATCAGTTGTAGGATTGACTCTCTCTGTGGTGGAGGTAAGTGTGATCCTTGGAGCCAGGACCTGTCTGCCACTTCTCAGCCAACATCTGCAAATTTCATAGCTCACCCTTGAACTTGAAGTGGTTAGCTGAAACTTTATTGTCTTGCCTACCCACACACCCCCAACACACACACACACACACACACACACACACACACACACACACACACA